CCTGTGTTGTCAAGCGTTCTCCAAAGGGTGATGTGTAGCTGCAGTTTGCCCAAAGCCCACCTTCTCCTTTTTAGGGTAGTGCGCTTCTTGGGGCGGGAAGAGTATGGAGGGAATAGTTCTGTGCTTCCTGAATGCAGCCTGTACTTATGCTTGGCCTGCATGTGGACCTTGTGAGGCGCTGTATTTCCACAGACTTCCAGCATACAGTAGCTAAGAGAGCAAGAACAGTGTTTCTCCTGGGGTTATGGAGGAAGTCGTTGTCAATCTAGGCTTTATTTTTTTTAAATTCTAATGAATTTTTTTAAATTTAGGATTTAAACACTTTCTAGCAATTCTAACATGGCAGTATTTTCCTAAAGCATGAGAACCAGAAGTGGAATTTCACTAATTATACCCCCCTCTCCCGCCCCCCGACCCCAATTATCCAAGATGAGTGAAAAGGAAAATTAAACTAGACATGGGCGATAAAAAGCCTTTTTAAATTGTTCATGTTTTAATAATCTAAAGATGTAACAACTTTTAAGCACACAGTGTCCCTTTAAACTTTAGTCTGTAGCTCCATCTAAAGGTAGATTGAGGTATTCAGCTAGTTTGACATGATAAATATTGACTCCCTGATTTATTTTTTTGTTCTAATGCTGCAATAGAACACAATAAAAGAGATAAATGACATGTACAGTGAGGGTAATCATGGAGTAAACAGAATAGCTCAGGAGTAGGAAGTTGAGTGACTCTTTACATATATAGTTATGTGAATTCCCAGTTTCTGGAACAAACTAGGCCCCAGATGCTGCAATGCACTGATGCAAGGTCCAGACTCTCAGCTGGTGGATACAGCAAGATCCATATGTCAGGGTAATACTGCTAGCTTCAGCATGTCCTCTTCATTAAGGGGAGACATGGAAAATTTCTTCCTAGCCAGAGGCAGGTTAAAATATTGCAAGTGATCATTTTCTGAATGTGTCATCCTTCAGTTCCATAACGTGTTGAAACTTATTGTAGACAGCTGATTGTTAAGAATTTGTATAAAAACTGGCAGCTTTAAAATACAAAGTAACATGATATAGAAAAATAAATGTAGTTTCTGTAAGGCAGCTTGTGTGACAGTCAATAGACGTCCACTATCAAAGGCATTGTGTACTCAGAGTGTCGGATTCCAAAGGTAACAGTTGGGGCACAAGGCTTGATCAGTGTTACCTGTAGATGGAAAAATAAATAAAACACATCAGGTTATTCACCATGAACATTTTTTAATTTCTACTTTCTATGCGACCAACCTTCCCACTCAAGTACAAGATCTGGACAGTCCAGGTCACCTAGTGTCAGGCATGCTCCCCTTTTTACTATATTCCTATCTGTAAAAAGAAAATGTATAACCGAGGAGGGAGGCAGGCAGATGCACAGAATGACTAGATCAGAACCAGATTAAAATCAGCTTCTCTGAACTCCAGGTGAAATGTTGCAAAATTTCCTAATAAAGATGAATGGTGTCTGGTGTTTAACCTTTGATGGTGGCAGTCTGACTGAAAGTTTAGCTTCTTACAATAGGCATGGTCTACGCCATGGCTATGTCTACACTGCTGGTTTTGCCAGCAGTGAGTATGCAAATGAGATGCAGCTTAGCATATCGTCATGCCTCATTTGCATGATTTATGCAAGCCATTTTTGTGCAAAGGGTTTTTGCAGGAAAAAAATGTAGTGTTGGCTTTTTTTTGCGCAAAACCCCTGTTTTCTGCAAGATCTTTATGCCTCTCCCAATGAGGCATAAGGATCTTGTGGAAAACGGGTTTTGTGCAAAAAAACCCTGTCCATACTACATTTTTCCCACAAAAACGGCTTGCATAAATTATGCTAAGGAGGCATGGCGATATGCTAATCTGCATACTCGCTGCCGGCAAAGCCAGTAGTGTAGATGAAGCCCATCAGTTTAGGTCAAGCTTATCTGCATTAGGTCAATTTTCTAAATACCACACCACCGAGCCTTTTCTGCCAACTTTAAGAGCTGTTGAAGTCTATTTTGGTATTCCTGTTTTTCATGAGGAGCAAAGGTAAAGTGACTTTGCATGGTTGATTTTAGGCTAGTGCAGATGTAGTACTGTGAAAGTATGTTCTTAGCCTCTGGGAAGTGTCCCACAGTGCCCCCAAAGTTACTGCTCTAGCCAGCTCTTTCAACTCTGCTGTTTTCCAGATACACAGGGAAAGCCCTAGGAACATTTGAATTTCATTTTCTGTGTGACCAATGTGGTGAGCAGGCAGCACACTTGACCATGAATGCCAAGGATCACGAACCATCTCCAGCATGGAATTTGCAGAAGATCCTGGACCTTACTGCTGTATGGTGAGAGGAATCTGTTCAGGCGGATTACAAAGCAGCAAAAGAAATGCTGATCGTACAGGGCATGGTGGCAAAAGGATATACAGGCAGTCCCCGGGTTACATGGATCCGACTTACATCGGATCCCTCCTTACAAACGGGGTGAGGCAACCCCGCACTAGCTGCTTCCCTCCAGCAGACCAGGGAGATGCAAAGCTAGAGCCCCCCCTACCCCCCGCCAGCAGACCAGGGAGACGCGGAGTGGCTTTTCTCAGCAGACACCTCAGCTTGAGAATAAAGGACTGAGGGAAGTGAGGTGTGGGAGAATAAAACTGAGCTCTGGAGAAATGTTTGGCTAGAGTTTCCCCTACAATATGTACCAGTTCCGACTTACATACAAATTCAACTTAAGAACAAACCTACAGTCCCTATCTTGTACGTAACCCGGGAACTGCCTGTACTAGGGATGCCTAGTAGTGCCATGTGAGCTCAGGCAGGTGTACCAAAAGACAAAAACAAACAAAGGGTCTGGATCATTGCCATAAACATGCTGCCTCTATGAGGCAGGAATCTGACCAGTGTCCCAAAGAGGTCTGGATTCCTCACAAGAGACTCTTCTGGCAGCTTTGAGTCACAGCGAGGAGGACTTTGTTGATAAGGAAAAGGTGGAGGAGAATGCTCAGCATTTAATCAAAGCATCTGATCTCCCAGACAGCCCTGACCTCTTTTTAACTATGTGACCAATTCCCTCTTCCCAGGAGGTATCACTGCTGGACTCTGGTGGTGGGGAGGATGCTTCTGGTGAGTTCACATTTTTAATCTTGCTACAAGTGAGTTAAGGCAGTTGGGTGTGATCTGTGGCAACCACTCTGCCTACACAGTGGGGGGCTCCTTGGAACAGTTTAACTTGTCTGGAAACGGAGGGGGAACCCTCCCTGCACATCTCCATAAAGCTCTCAGATAGGAATTCTCTGATCTCTCTCACATGGAGTCTGAGGAGGCCAGCCTTATTTCGTCCTCCATGGTAGGACACCTTCTCATGCAAAGTCAGCAGTAAGTAGTCTGGCGTTGGTGTTATTTTAGCACAAAGCAGTGCAGCATAAGGTCCTGGTTTCTGGCCACGTTCAGTCAGTGTCTGCTCCCTATCGTTCTGTGTGATTCGGAGAAGACTGATATTGTGCATGGCCACCTACATGAACCAGGGGAAGCTCTGTCACTGTTTGCCCATCCTCAACGAAGCAGGACCCCAGGTTTGCTGGTTGTGTAAGCTCCTGCAAGCCTGTGGGGTTCTTCCATCCTCCCTAACAGGCCCCGTGGAATTGGGAAAGTTGTAGTCTCCCAAGAAAGGAGGGGTGTGGGGTGCACACTTGTCACATAAGGCCCTGCAAGCCTGTGCACTTTCCCCAGCCCTGTGTGAGCCCCTGCAAGGCTGCATGCTTGCCCCATCTCCCCTTGCAGAGCTCCTTTGGATCGCAGCCCCGCTTTGCAAATGCAGACGTCTGGAAAGCCAGGAGGCATGTACAGTAATTCCTCATTTAACACCATAGATATGTTTCAGAAAATGATCGTGTTAAGTGAAAATGTGTTATGCAGGGTCATTTTTCCCATTGAAAATAATGGAAAAGGTGAGGGTTGCGTTTCAAGCGATGGTGTCTGTTGGGACCGGGATATAAGGTTGGGGGAGAAAGAGGACTGGGTTACAGCAGTGAGGGGAGGTGTTTGGCTCTGGCTCTGGGGAAGGGAAGGGGAGAAGAGGGGAGGGGGATTTGGTTGGGAGTATGCCCCTCTGACGGGACCCACACTGTGTCCGGTGAGCGGGGGTCGCTGGGGAATGGCACGGCGACCGGCGAACCCTCCGCCACTTTGCAGGGAGGCGGGGGAAGCCCTGCGCAACCGCCAGTGATGGGCTGGCTGGGGAAACTCAACTGCTGGCCTGCAAGCAGGGGCAGAGGAGAGGGGGCAAGGCTCCTGGCAGCGGGGAGTCAGCAAGGAATGGCGTGGCGAACCCTCCACCACTTTGCAGGGATTCAGGGGAAGCCCCACGCAGCTGCCAGCAATGGGCCAGCTGGGGAAATTGTGTTATTCCAGGGACGGGCATGTAATTTCAAAAACGTTCCCTTAAAAAAAAATCTTGCTATCGCGAAAACGTGTTAAGCGGGCACATGTTAAATGAGGAATTGCTGTACTTGGCAAGCACTCTGTTGCACATGGTTTCAAAGCCGAAGCAAAAGAGCAAGAGCCCTAACCAGCTGCTTACCATGCCTGCCACCAAACAGAATCCAGCTCACTGAAGTGATCTGTATCTTGTCCCTGCCTTGTAGGCACTTAAGATTATAACTTTAGCCTTGTACATGACACATGCCTATTGTGTAGCACACATGGTCTTTCGTGGTAAAAGAGTAACTTGTGCATTCCACAATACGTCTTCTCTAAAAGCCTCCCCCCTTTTTTTTCCAGCATGTACAACAATGAGTTTTTTGCCCACTCCCCTGGTTTGCCAGTGCTTCAGCTATCAAAATCATAAGGCAGTTTCCATAGGGTACAATATTCCTAACTTCCTTTTTAAAAATGGGCATTGTTACAATAAAAAAAATCAATATATGCAAAAGAATCTGCACTAATTTTTATGCTGCTCTTCAAATATGCTTGCGTAGATAAATTTAAGCATTTATTTAAGTAAATAATATCCATTTATGCATGCCTGAATATGGATGATCTCACAGCAGATTTTTCAAAAGCTTTCTCAATCCATCACTGCCTTGGAACACTCTCAGCTGTCCTTTCACTGCTGTGCCAAATACCACTCATCCATCTCTTTCCCAGTTATCCCTTATATGAGAACCTGCCACCACTCCTTCCATGATAACTTTATCAAGATTATTTCCATCTCTATGCCTGATGTGACCAAAAGCCGTAAGTTTTCACTTGTTGATTTCCAACAACATGGTTTGCTTCTCTCCAATAATGCTGCTAACTTAAGCATTTGTCATATTTTTCCATCCAGGAGATGTGCAGGAATTTTTGTCAGGACCACATATCAAAGGCTTCAGTTTTCAACTTTTTAGTAGCATTAACTACCCATAATTTATATCTCTATGCCACTTTGGAGAAAAATAAGTTTTTTACCAGTCAAACCTTCATACGTTTTGAGAAGTCATACGTTTTTCTAAACTTTAGTGAGGAAGGCCATGGCTGAGAGCCATTCCTAATCCTCTTCCACTTTCTTTAGAACAGCCTTCTTGGTTTGATTTTTATTATCCCAGTTAACTGAATTAATCTACTACCTCTACAACTTGACTATTAATTGTGAGTCCATTTTCATCCTGTTTTCCTCAATCATGTCAACATACATGCACTTCATTTTTACAGTATTCGGGGATAGTCCATATTCCTCACTAATTCTTTTTATAGATTCCAACATTAATTGCATTCTATCAATGGCTGTAGTAGCAGTGGTCATTAGCATATTTAAGGTCAGTTAAGGACGGATCCACCAGTGGAAATCTCACAGTTCCTTCCATTTTATCAAGACCTTCTGGGATTTGTTTTATGCTGCATACCTCTTGAAGAGGATTGGGACAGAATACAGTTTTGTCTTACACTCAGCCCAGTGGAAAACCGCTAGCCTTTGCCTGTAGCTATGTGCACTGTGAGACGGCAGCAGGATGCTTTGGTATCCCCAAATCTGCCATTTATCTTCCAAAGATGATCAAATTGGATGGTATTAATCATTTTTAGTAGTCCATGAAACACATGATCAATGGGTGATTGTACTCCCTGCATTTTTCACTGATATAATGGATGCTCAGAGTTTGATCACCTGTGTCTTGTTCCTCTCTTTTGTAGTTCCAGTCATTCACAAGTTTGATACACATGCTAATGGTTTAAATAAAGATACTGGATGGCTGGGACATTATCAGCCTACCAAACAATGATGGTGCCAGTGGTTCTTTGTATAGTATCTGATGTTAGTAGGCTTCCTATCTGATTGCTTACTAATGGTTCTTATCTGCCTCTTTTGACTATCCAGGCTTTAGGTGCTTGTAGACTATTTGTTTTTCCTGTTACATTCCAGCTCTGCTTTCCCCTTGTTATTTTTATACCCATTGCCTCTTCCTCCCCCCACCCCTTCTCCCCTATTTATTTTAGTTCTGGACATCCAACACTCTGGTCATCTGAAGAAGTGGGCTGTGCCCACGAAAGCTCATAAAACCAGCTACATGTTTTGTTAGTCTTTAAAGTGCTACCAGACTATTTGTTGTTTTTTAAGTTTATCCTGTACAGACTAACTCGGCTACCCCTGAAGCTTTAGAATCATTATAGTTTGTCTTAAGTCCACATATCGATCCTATAGGTTTATGTCCCTACAACAGCAGCTGATAGTGAAGTGCTTGAGTTCTGTTTGTTTAAACAATACCTTTTTCTTTCATCCCAGATGCATAAATAAAATATTTTATTTTTTTTTGAACATGTGTTCATGCAGGTTCAGATACCTGATGAATACATATCTAGACAGATGGACAAGGATTTCTCGAAGAAACTTGTCCAGTTTCTTGACCTTCGACAATCTTTCTCAGTAATGCATTAATATTGTGGGATGTGGATTTTTTAAAAATTTAACGTTCATTTAATCAAATGTGGCCTCTTCTGAGCATTGATGTAAAACATTAGCTCTTCCATGCAGATTGATGTCCTTTTTTAACAATATTAATCTTAATGCATTGATATATTGAAAGATCTTATCCTGGCTATTTGAATCTGTATTTTTATTTGCTGAACACTCACAAGATTTTGTGATGGTTCTAAATCAAGACTTGTCAATTTAAGAAGTTTAAATCCAAACCAGCCCTATAGCCTGCAACTGTTTGTCCTCTAACTCAAGTAAATTACTTTATAGTTTTCAAGAACCATTTGAGAGAGAGGAGGAGACTGTTAAAGATCAGTTGCTGAAAAGAAAAGATAAATAGGTTCTCTCTGCCTTACCTTTCCAGGATAATAGTCTCCAGGTCCAGGTTGTACTGCATTTCCTGCAGGCTTACTCCGGGTGCTCATGCTGTACTTAGGGGCTCTCTTTTTGTACACATCAACCTCTACCTTTCTATATGCAGCTGGACCTGGTGTCTGTAAGAAAGTCAATGGAGCTTCAGTTAAAATAGCTATATTCAGTATCTGCAGTTTTCTATGAGACCTGCATGGGTTTATCGTGATGGACAGAAAAACAGTATCAGAGACACTTAATTTTAACAATTTTTATTGTATTCTATTTTTACTTTACTGCAGAATGTCAAGGGTCATGTCTTTTAGGGCTTTACATTAGATGTCTGAAGTCTTATTAGCCTGTGCAACTTTACATTTGACAGACTGCAGAGGGACAGTGGTTCAAAATGAAATTAAAGTGCCATTGTTCAGTTTCTGCAAGCTTTAGGCACTGATGATCTTCATAGTTTTTTTATATACGGTAAGTATTGTTTAAAAGCTCAGTGTTTTCAGTAAGTTTTAAATAATAAACAAGAACCTATACATGATCCTTTTTCATTTACAGTAAAACCTGTGTTATCCGGCACACTCGGGGATTAGGGCATTCAGGTTATCTAAAAATTCCAGTTATCTGAGGGTCCCATTAACCTATGAAAAAACAATGGACAATAATAGTAAACCTCAGGTTTTTAATATTGGTAGTTTTGTAGTATGAGGCAGTTGGTCTCACATTTCTATTTTAAGTTAAAGATGATTAGTACTACTTAAACAAATAATAGTTAAACCAATCATGGTAAATCAGTCCTGTGCGCCAGTTCTGTGTGCCTGAAGATGTGACAGTATTGTGGCTGGGGACAATGCTAGTTAACAAAGTTTTCTGGTTAACAGAGTGCCGGATAACAAAGATTTCACTGTAATAAAAAAATAATCATTTTGTAAATATGTAACATGTCACATGTATTCAACTACAGAATCTTATTTCACTTATGATGTTACAGATATAACATCTGGTGCTTAGTTTGGTAGGTGTCACTAGGAATGTTACTACAGCCTTCTACAAAGAAGAATAAACTTGAGCAGGATGTCAATTTTATTCCTCCTTCCCATACTTTGTTGTAGGAAGAGGGTCTAAAACACCCCTCATTGTTAAACACAATGCTAATAATTTTAATAACCCCACAACTGTTATCACTCAGCAGAATCTGAGCCATAACAATTATTTCCATTTTAAGAAAGCTGTGGTCCTTCAGGGTATGTCTACACTACTACCCTAGTTCGAACTACGGTGGTTAATGTAGGCAACCGAAGTTGCAAATGAAGCCCCGGATTTGAATTTCCCGGGCTTCATTTGCATCTTGCCGGGCGCCGCCACTTTTAAATCCCTGCTAGTTCGGACTCCGTGCCCGCGGCTACACGCGGCACAGAGTAGGTAGTTCGGATTAGGCTTCCTATTCCGAACTACATGTTACTCCTCGTGGAATGAGGTGTACCGGTAGTTCGGAATAGGAAGCCTAATCCGAACTACCTACTCGGTGCCGCTTGTAGCTGCAGGCATGGAGTCCGAACTAGCGGGGATTTAAAAATGGTGGTGCCCGGCAAGATGCAAATGAAGCCCGGGAAATTCAAATCCCGGGCTTCATTTGCAACTTCGGTTGCCTACATTAACCACCCTAGTTCAAACTAGGGTGGTAGTGAAGACATACCCTCAGATGCTGCTCTGTTTATCACTGGCAATTGTTGATATTTTGACAACTGCTACTGGATATTTTAGACAATTTTTTACACATGCTTGTTGTCTGGGTATGTCTATCAGTTATGGTAGATATTTAGTAAGAAAATGTTTTAAAGATGACAGAAATTTGAGTCTGAAATTTTGCAAATGAATATGCACAGTAAGAAGTTAAAATACTCATAAGAATGGTCATACCGGGTGAAACCAAAGGTCCATGTAGCTCAGTATTCTGTCTTCTGACAGTGGCCAATGCCAGGTGCCCCAGAGGGAATGAACAGAACAGGGAATCAAGTGTTTCATCCCCTGTCCCCCATTCCCAGCTTCTGAGAAACAGAGACTAGGGGCACCATTCCTGCCCATCCTGGCTAATCACCATTGATGGACCTAACCTCCCTGAATTTATCCAGCTCTTTTTTGAACCCCCATGATAGTCTTGTCCTTCACAATATCGTCTGGCAAGGCGTTCCATACGTTGACTGTGCATTGTGTGAAGAAGTACTTCCTTTTGTTTTAAACTTGCTACTTATTTATTTCATTTGGTGACCTATAGTTCTTGTATTACGGGAAGGAGAAAATAACTCTTCTTTATTCACTTTTTTACATCAGTCATGATTTTATAGGCCTCTTTTAGGAGCCTTTTCCAATGCCAAGATATTTTTTTAAGATAAGGTGACCACATGTACAAGCAGTATTCAAGATGTGCTCATACATGGATTTATATGTAAGCAAAAAGATATCTGTCTTATTCTCTATCCATTTCTTAATGATTCCTATCATTTGGTTTGCTTTTTTCATTGCACTGCACATTGAGTGGATGTTTTCAGAGAATTATCCACATTGATGCCAAGATATCTCTCTTGAGTGGTTAACACCTAATTTATTTATTTCTATCTATTAGTCCTTTGGGCTCCTAATGGAGCATAGGGTCTCCACCCATTATTTTATATGTATAATTGGGAGATCTTGAGCAGTTTTGTATCATCTGAAAATTTTGCCACCTCACTATTTACCCCTTTCTCCAGATAATGTTGTGAATATGTTGTATAGGATTCCTCTCAGTACAGACCCCTGCAGGACACCACTAGTTACCTCTTTCCTTTCTGAAAACTGTCCATTTAGTCCCACCCTTTGTTTCCTCTCTTTCAACCAGTTATCAATCCATGAGAGGACCTTCCCTCTTATCCCATGACAACTTACTCTGTTTTACTACTCTAACATAGGAGTAAAAGGTTTTCCCTCTAGAATGTAAAAAATATGTTGGAATATGTGTGTCCTGGTGTGAAATTTCATATAACAACTTTTGTTACTTAACACATTTATGTTTCTCATTCCAATTCCAACTCCTTTTCCAGGTGGAATTCAGGCAACAAGATGCTCAGGCATACTACAGATCTAGGACTAATCTGAAAACTATGACAGTCATTGGAAAAGTGGCGAGGAGTCCTGTGGCACCTTATAGACTAACTGAAGCATTGCCCATAAGCTTTCGTGGGCAAAGACCCACTTCGTCAGATGCATGTGGTCTTTGTCCACGAAAGCTTATGCTCCTACACTTCAGTTAGTCTATAAGGTGCCACAGGACTCCTCGCCACTTTTCCAATGACTGTCATAGTTTTCAGATTAGTCCTAGATCTGTAGTATGCCTGAGCATCTTGTTGCCTGAATTCCACCTGGAAAAGGAGTTGGAATTGGAATGAGAAACATAAATGTGTTAAGTAACATTGGAAAGATTCCCAGTGATTCTTGTAAGTTTTGAATCAAGCCCTTAGACGGTACTTGCTGCAGATCTAGTTAGAATCCTCCCTTGCCAATGGTGCACTTACTAAGAATAGCCATGTTTGCTGCTAGTCATCAGCTGCAGCACTTGTATCTGGTCATGCAGCAGAACACTTGTTGTGTCTGTTCATGTAGTAGGAAAGAACCCTCAGTGCTCCTTCAGTCATGGAGGCAGTGACTGACCACTGGTTGTCAAGGGGAGCAGCTGGAGAGGAAATGCAAAAGCAGCTTACCTGATGGAGATCCTCATCATAACGACCGAGCTTACTCTTCCATTTCATGGAATAACAAGGGCTAGCCGTTTTGTCCACCGTATTGGGTCCCATCACCCCGGGGATAGTGTATGCAGCAGGACCTGGGGGGGAGGGGGAAAACATGATAGTTACTTATACTGTGAATTCTCAGGGATCAGAGGGAATATAATAGTGGAGAGAGGCTTTCAACGGAGGCTGGGGAGAAGAAGGGGTATTTCTTTTTCATATTCCCTGTTCTTTTTCTGTCCTGGAATGAGCATCTGGATTCTAAACTGCTGGTGCTCATAGGGTGGGCCTGGCATGCTGAACGAAACAAACAAAGAAAAGGAGATTTATATACCTTACACTAACTGGGTCTTCAAGATGTGTCATCATAATCAGCTGCATCTTGCCTCAGTTTTTTTCAGAATCCTCAGTATCTTAGGAATTGGAGGAAAGGTCTGTGCTCATCCCAGGTCCCGGAAGACTGGGCCTGAACCACCACAGGAGCAAAATGCCTGATGCTTTGTTTTTGTGGGTCTGTGGCAAACATGTCCCTTTCTGGGAATCATCACATGCAACAGATGTTCTGCAGAACTGAGTCTTTGACAGACTACTCCTGGTTGTTTGAAAACAACCTGCTAAATCAATCTGACAAGGCTTTTTGAGGGCCAGGAAGGTGCGTTCACTGGAATGCACTAGGTCTAGAGTGGAGACAGTCTTGTTCCTCTAGTATGGTGACCTGTAGTTCCTCTAGCGTGGTGTTTCTTGGTGCTTGGATTATGGGTTCCTGGAGTCGATACATGAACTTTGTATGCCAGGCAGATTGCTCTCAGCTCCACAATGTTTATGTGAAAACAAGCTTCCTTGGAAAATCTCATAGGCCATCATAGTTTGAGGGTGACATAGTTTGAGGGTGATATAGATGAGTCTTTCATCCCCAAGTGAAGGTTTTCATCATTAATGTCCTGGTAGACAGAGGTGCAGAACCAGAGCATTCCCATACATAGCTGTATTTGGGTCTTTTCGCTAGTTTAATGGAGAGAGCACTTTTTGTGGACCAGATGGTATCTGTTGGGTAGATACACTTTCATGGTGCACAAGTGAAATCTGGTAGAGTCATGTATCTTTCCACACCTCTTGCAGGTGTCCAAGAGAACCGAGGCTGATTATGAGGATAGGTTCTGAAGAAGGTGGCTCCAGGAAGGATTTTCCCTATGAAAATTGGGTCATTTCTTGCTGATCCTTATACCTACTTCTTAAAATCTCTTCACAGCTCCCACTGCATTTCCTGAGCAGGAGAGGGAGAGTGCATAGAAGAGTAGTCCGTGTCCATGTTATGCTCTGATGGGAATGAAGAAAAGGAGTAAATTTCTTCCAAGTGAGGAGCTGTACTGTCAGGACCATCTGGCTCGGTTTGTGCTCTCCTTAGTTGGATAGGGGTGAAGTTGGTTGTGGAAATGTCTCCTTTGTCTGCTGTACTGATGTTTCAGTGGCTAGTAAATCTTCATCCGCTCAAGGAGAGGAGACTGGTATCAAGCCACAGATAAATGGCTCAATACTATATAAGACTTGAATACTAACACATTAGGTATCAGTGCTGGGCACTGAGAAATATGGTTTCAGGATTGCCTGTGCAGAAGCATAAGCTGCTGAAGGATGATTACCAAGAGCAGTGTTCCCTGTAAGCCATGTGCTTATGTGGCCACTCAAGAAAGATTCAGATACAACTTACAGCTAGTTTTTTTGTTTCTACTGGTGGTGCACATAAACATTTACATATGCCTTGGTGCACATAAACATTTATTCTGTAAATCAGAATGAGGAACTTTTTTTGGGTCAAGGGCTGCTGACCCACAGAAAAATCAATCAAGGGCTGCATACAAGTGAGAAGGAAAGTGAGAATCCCCTGACTGAAAAGGAGAAAGACATTCCCCACATTCCCCTTGCACACCAGAACCTAGGGAGATCCAGGCTAGTAGATTTTGTATGCTCCAGCCACATGGGTGGCTGGGACAGGGTGGGAAGAACTGAAGCACCAGCGTGGGTTCCGAAATGCTGAACCTTGGGGGCTAGATCCAGCCCCCGGGTGAGGTTCCCCGTCTCTGCTGTAAATGGATGGAAAAAATCCAAACATGGATGGGAAAGATTAGAGGGAACCTTGACCAAGAGTGATGCTGTCTGCTGGTTTAAAGGCTAGTATTGATGTTGTCTTAACAGTCAGTACAGAGGTGCCTACGAAACAGAACCTGACTGAAATCACCACGTTTTTGTGTATGTTACCAATGGGCAACAAAACAGACATGAAGCTGCAGGGAAGCAGGTGGACACTGTAGGCGTTTATTTTTATTGCCACAGATAAGAAGGAAATGAGACAGTTTATTCCGTGAGTGCACAAGGGAACTCAGTGCACATGTGCGGCTCCGACATATGCTGTAGGGCAAAAGAATCTGATCATGTAGACACAGGGTGAATGCGCAACAAAAATAGAATCCATGTAGACAAGAACAATGTAAGAAAAAAGCCTTCTGCTTCATTCAAGGGGACAGCTTGAAGTTCAGACCTCAGGTGAGTTTGTGGGACTAGGGGTTAAAATCAAACAAAACAAAACAAAAGCCTCCTAAAACACAATAGGAAAATAACATTTCCTGTTAATTGCGGATTGATCTAATTCACACTGGAGTGTTTTGGACACTATAGTGGCTTTTGAGAATGGAGCAGCACTTTTAAACCACTCCTGATAACTATTCTGATATAAAACAATGTACTCATTAGAAAAATAATAAACATTATGCAGTTTAAAGAGAAATTATTACAAATGTTATACAACCATTTCAAGTTGTTCCACCACAAACTTCACGTCCCATCTACTCCAAATCCTAACTATGTTATGCCAATGACAAGCCTGCTGTGGCTTCGTGGGGCTGCAATGTGGTTTGGTTTTTGCTTCTGTGAACAGGACTTATTTTTATCTTTTCAGGGTTGTAGCATACTGTAAATAAGATGATCTCCCTATTACATAGATCCTTTTCCTGACTCATTGCTTTGTCCCTGCCACCTCTTTCTTGTCATCCAGCCTTTCACTTCCCCTTCTCCATCACATGAAACTTGTCTTCAATTTCAAGGCTGTTTGTGTGGCTTCTCTCCCTGCTGCCTATCATCTCATATACACGATTGCGATGTCTAATGATGTTTGTCATGTGATGAACTCCTATTGATTTATGATAGTTGTGCTGCTAATTTGTTGCTTTTTTTTAGCTGTAGGTAAAAGGAATTGCATATGCATGTCAAACAGACATAAGAAGACAGGTCATATTTTGTCGTCTTGACTTCTGTCAAGGCCTTAGGTATATCTCTGGCTTTGTGAACTTTTATACCTCTGTGCTAAAGGAGTTCTTCTCAGTTCTGAAACACAGTCTGCCTGGCAGTGCTATCAATGACTAGTGATTCCGAGTCTTGTCATATGAACAGGAGCATGGTCAGTATTTTTTTTTCCCTCCCTTGGAAATATTCTTGTTGGTTTCTGTCACTATTGCCCCTGGTGAATTGAGAGGAAGAATTTAGTTTCTTCTGTTTTCATTTCTTCCAACACTGAACCAGTTTGCCTGTCTCTAAGAGCCCATCTTCACTTTAAATACAAATGAGATGCAGGATCTGATTATAACATAGACATTCGTTGACTACCGCCCAGCCTGAACAGCCCCTGCTTATGATGCACCAGGACCCACCATGGACAGAGGCTGCTCCAGCAGGCCCCATGGGGCTAGAGCAACCCCCTACCTACAGCGAGTGGAGAACTGCTCTAGCCCCCTTTCAGGTGATGCTTACACACCCCTATGACTGTCATCCACTGAGCTAAAGCCTTGGATGCGAGCAAGGCTTAGGCCCAGTGACAGAACACAGTTAAGGTTTCATTTACACAACAAATTGGAACTCTATTGTAATCAATGTAGAGGACAACCATATGAAACTCAGGACCATGTCATGTTCAGTTTTTGAAAGCTCCAAGTCCAAACTGCATATGCCTATTCCTATGACTTTCTTCCTTCATTTGAAAACTTTCTGTGGAGTCAGGCTCAGGACTTTCACTTTCATTTGGCCGCATTCGTTTATTAACTGCTGGATTTTACCTGGAGTGCCGTCTACGCGGAAGCACCTAGTCCTGAACGATATGGATTGCACAGGAGCACATTTATAAACATGCTTTATTGACTTCTCTGGTGAATAATCGCCTAGACAAGAGGGGAACAAAGCAACAACAATGAATATTTTGGCTGGCCTCCTTTCATGCCAAACAAGTATCTTGGGATATAGGTTTGTTTGAGCAAAACTGCAGTGCCTCAACCCACATCATCATGCTGCACTGCCATTTCCTCTACATCCCAGCCCCATTGACCTATTTTGCCACTTCTCCATCCTGCTCCCAACACTCTGCACTGCTGTTTCCCTCTTCCCAACCCTGTGACCCTACACTGCCCTTTCCTGAATCCTGAGCCCACTACCCATGTTGTTCCTCCCACATCCCACCCGTCAATGCAGGAGCGGTTACTTTCCATTTTAAAACATCCATACTTGAGTCTGGTGTGAGGTTTATATTCCCCTAGCATTGGACAACTATAGACATTATCCTCACCTTCAATATGTGATTGAGAGAAATATTACTCACTTGGGCCAGGTGTGACCTCAGTTTTCACCTTCGGGCGCCCACACATGGTATACGCTGGGGAAGTTCCCTTTCCATTCCTGGTCATTGAGGATTCCACAGAATAAGGCCCCGGAGAACAGGTTTCATTAAGCAAGGGCTTTGCCCCCTTAAAAGTGTAGGCAGGGGCTTTCCTTTTGGTGGGGTTGTGCTTCATGTAACCTAGGAAGAAGGGCTACATTTCATATGCATGTGTCAGATTTTATTATAAGTCCCCTTTGGGTAAAATGCAGGACAATGTAGCACTTTAAAGACTAACAAGATGGTTTATTAGATGATGAGCTTTGGGTCTTATTGCTAAAGTTGTTTGAGAGCTTTAGGACCACAAGATTCATTTCCAAGACACTGGCTTTACTTTTGGTTTATAGAATAGACTCAAGGTTGCCATTATTACTAATTCATCCCAGTTTGTGGGTACATAAGAGGTTTCTTCTTGTTATAATGTAAGCCTAAGCTGTGGTTTTCTGAGCAGTTCTGTCAGTGGGCAAAAGAGGTGAAACACTAAGGCTGTGTCTAGACTATACCTCTCTGTCAACAGAGGGATATAGATTAGGCACATTGAAATTGCTAATGAAGCGAGGATTTAAATGTCTCGCACGTCATTAGCATAAACATGGTCACTGCTTTTTTTTTTTAAACGGAGCTTTTTCGGGGAACCCCCCACCCACACACACACAAACTCGGCAGCCTAGACGCAGCTCTTTTGAAAATACAACCCTTTTTTGAAAGATCCTGTAAACATCACTTTATAAGGGATAAGGGATCTTTCGAAAAAGGGTTGTATTTTGGAAAGATCTGCGTCTAGAAAGCCTTTTTTTTTTTTCCGAAAAAGCTCTGTTTAGAAAAAAAGCAGTGGCCACGTTTATGCTAATGAAGCACGAGATATTTAAATCCCCGCTTCATTAGCCTGTCAACAGAGAGGTGTAGTCTCGATCAGGGCCAGACGGAGGCATGGGCGAACTGGGCAGTTGCCCCGGGTGCCAACCCACAGGGGGCACCTGATGGCAACTGTAAGGGGCGCGTGGCATCCCTTACAGCTGCCATCAGGAGCCACGCACCCAGCTCCTGCAGCGCCAGCCCCGCGGCGCCGGACAGCAGTGCCCTTGCCCCTACAGCTGCGGGGCCATGCACGGCCCGGTGCGTGCGCTAGCAGCACTAGCCAGTCCGGGCTGGGCAGCGCATGCATCATGCACCCCGGGGGCAGGCCCCGGGCTGCACGCCAGCAGTTGCGGCTCCCCCGCCCACAGCACCACACGTCTGGGCCCAGGACACCAAAAGGACTCAGGCCGGCCGTGGGGCAACACTCCCACTGATTTCAGTGGGGCCAGAATTTCACCCAAGGATTTCAAAAGTGAGCTGTACTGTCCTGTTCTGCTGACAGCAACTAAGGCTTCTCTACTTCAAAAAATGTACCAAAATAGATATCCTGTTAATAATTATTCCAGTAATTCTTTCAATTAAAGCCCTCGTGTGGACACCCTTAAATTGGATCTTATACTAAAATAACAATCTCTAGAATAGGTCTTATGGACATTTCCAAGCATAGACATGCTCTGAGACCATTCTAAACCTATTCCACAAAAGAGTCTCTCCTAAATAAAATCTGTTTTGAAATACTATTTTCACTGAATTTGTGGTCAAACAAGAAAACACAGTCTTGAGAATGTGGTGCCCAGCAACCAGCATGACTGGAAACACTGACTTTCCCATGTGAAAACACAAGTTATTTGAATAAAATATGCGAGTTTCTACAGAATTAATTGGTTTGCTCCCATCTGGGTTTAGTGTGTTTAACTCATGTTATTGACCGTATTGCTTGAAATGCTGTATCTTTGTCCTTTTACCTGTTGTTCCCTCTATCCAGTACTTTGGTCCTGGACTGGTAAACTGGGCCATTACTGGGCCCCTTGGACGGTGAGGCCTCCAGGTCCCCACCCAAGCGCTGTCATGCATGGCTGGAGTTGGTTACAAAGCCTAAAGGGAAAATAGAAGGATTAATAATGGAGTCTCTTAAAGAAGCAAAATTCTGTTTCTTTTTTGCATTTCTGTGAAAAGTTCAGTCTGGTCCTGTGATTATGCTATACCTGAAGCCACATTGGTTGAATCCAGTCTCCATGTGAATGGAACTGAGACATGACGTTGTATAGATTCCTGTTGATAAAATCTGTCTGTCACTGTCCGTGACTCTAAGAATTGTATTGGGTCAGAAATAAAGGACCCCTGCTTCTATGGTACACACTGAGTATGAAATCTTCTTTAGATCTTTGATACTTAAGCATTCAAACTCAGTGGTCTGTTTGTTTTGCTAATATGCATTTTCCTTTATCCCTGTTAATAACCTGTTTATGGTTAAAATGAGGGATGGGAAGACATCTGGATGCAGAGCACTCCTTCAGAACCTCCTCCATCTGCAGCATTGAAATATGCTAATATGGGAGGGGTTGCGCACACACCTTGTTGAGAAGCCTCAGGTGCTAGCTCTGATGGAGGCAGAATATTCAGCTAAATGCACTGGACCAACAATCTGATCCAGCATGTGAGCTCTAATGTACAAGTGAATTGCTTAAGACGGTAGATATAGGGCAGTAGGTATCGATGGCAAATGTTGATGAAGTTACTAGCAAGTCAGTAGTGTGCCAGGAGTATCTTGGAAACCTCTTGGTATCTGGGTGTCTGTCACTATCTCCTGTGATATTAAAGATCTTTTCAGTGCAATGACCTGGGCAAAGCTCTGAATCCAGAGCAAGTATCTCTCTGACATTTCAGGGGGTCTGTTTTACTCTACTATCAGAGAACTGATATAAAGTAGATCTCTGGTTTTATGATGTCACTGTTCATGACCTTCACATCCTGCGTCCACAGCAATTGTGGCATCCACCCTCACAGTATCTTTGCCACTAAGATTTTCTTGTCAGAGTTGGGCTTAATAAAAATCCCCTTGCTCATTAGCTAGTATCTCAGCAAAGCTCAGAATCCATCAGGCTGCTGTTCTGTCTTAGACTGGTAGGAAATATTTTCTGCTATGGGTTTCTCCTTAAAGTTGTATACATATTAGGGGTGAAATCCTGTCTTCATTGACATCAGTGGGACTTCTGCCATTGTCTTCAATGGGGCCAAATTTTCACTCCCATTAACTAGTGTGCATTTAATCCACTGTCCCCCCTTCTTTTAGATATATATCTCCCCATCTCGTGTGGTATACTAGAACCTTCTAGATTATACTGCTCTCATCTGCAGGACACTTTTTGAAAGACTGGGCTGCCAGGTCCTCAGGTAAGCTACCTTCTTATTGCTTTTCATATTCCTCTGTATTACAAGTTGAACCTCTCTAATCCAGCACTCTCTGGTCCGACAACTTCCATGGTCCGGCAGGATTTTAGTTAGCTGGATGTCCACTTATCATGGGTGTGGCCAAGTTTCCCACAGTCTCTTGTGTTTGTTTACAGCCACCAGCCCTGGCTCTCAGTGTTCAGTGCTTTTATTTAGCTCTAATTTACCCCATACATGTCTTCTAAAAGCCCAGTAAGAAATGGAAGTGCTGATAATACTGCGAGACACTAATGATCTCCAATGGTCCAGCAAATTCTCTGGATCAGCACGGGTCAGATCCTGAGAGTGCTGGATTAGAGAGGTTCAACCTATACTCTCCTTTGCCTTGCTGCTTACAAAAAAACCTGACACTAATTAGCCCACTCGTGTGCTGAGACCACCTGCCTGTTCAAGCTGACCAATATTATCACAGTGTCCTTGTACTCTTGTGACTGTATTGTCTCCAGGGCTGTAAACCAGAGGGAGGGGGGATGTATATGGGGCAGTTGGACTCCCCACCCCTTTAAATTATCATTACAGCCCGAGGCAGCACTGATGGGCTGGCTAGGGAGGCTAGCCCCCAGCCCTGCCCCTTACAGAGGCTCAGAGCTGACTTTCCCCAACTTTAGCTAGAGGCCCAGCAATTCTTCTCAGCAGTTTCCTGGTTGTCATCTCTTTTTCTTTTTTGTTCTCTGAACAGTTTCTACCACACACTAGTTCTGGGTTCCTAAGCACTATGGTAAGAAGGAAATGCTAGGAAATAGCTCACTGTATCTCTGTCTTCTGCAGGGTAGTTATTAGACTTGCTTGTATCTCACCCATTGAACACTCTGCTCACCTGAGTTTCACCTTTACTTGCTGCTTTGGTGCTTTAAGCATCAGCTGTGTGGCTCTATTTTCTCTGTATGAGCAGCAAAACTTGCTGTGCTTTGAGTCATGAACCACCCCGTCTACTGCACTTCCTTTTTAAATATGCTACAACTCAGGAAATGTATTTCAAATCAGTTCCTTGTCTGGACTGACACGGGTGCCTGAAACCCAAAACATAAAAAAGTTCTTCAGCAGTTGGATACAAGAATGAAAAATGAATAAATTTCATTAACATAACAATATATTAGCAGACTTAAAATAAGGAATTAACCAAACATATCCTAGAGGTTCAGCTGTTCTGAAAGAGCTCCAGTTTTATTCTCTATGGGTCCAAGAGAGTTATGCCTCACATACATTGTGTATGTGCAATACACCTTAAAATGTGGTTACAGACAGAATACGACAATGTAAAAATGACACACTGTACTAATTGTCCATCTTTGATTTTAATCTCTGAGTACACTGGGAGATGCAGATTTTTAACTGTTGCTAGCATCTGAGAACCAGTATAGTTACAGATGAGGGAACTGAATGTTATCTTGCCTCTCCAACTCAGGTAAATTCCTACTGCACGATATTTTGATACTGACAGTGATATACAGGAAGTTTGCAGCACTAAATGTTAGAAAAATTATTATTCTTTGAGTTTGTGTGAAACTCAGGAAATTATTTCAAATCAGTTCCTTGCCTGGACTGACACAGGTGCCTGAAACCCAAAACATAAAAAAGTTCTTCAGCGGTTGGATACAAGAATGAAAAATGAATAAATTTCATTAACATAATATATTAGCAGACTTAAAATAAGGAATTAACCAAATATATCCTAGAGGTTATGCTGTGAAAGCCACTGGATATAACAGCCCCATTCTGCCAATGCATTGCTCATAGAAGTCCCACGGATTTCAGTAGGACTCCTGTGTGAAGAGAGATTGACGGATGAGGCCTTAAACATAAAAGAACCAGATGCCATTTCCATTCACTTTTCAAAATATAACTTACTAAAACATTCCATGATAGCCTATAATCCTGATGCCATGTATATTGGAATTCAACATGCAAGAGAAAAAAGCTACTTCCCAGCTGACTGCTTCTCTAGAGAATGCTCAACAGGGTGAGTCTAACAGAAGCACATTTTCCTCTTGGGGCAGTTCCAAATTCTATTTAAAGCCATCTCATCACTATTGGAACACCAGCAGTCCACAAAAGATGCTTAGTATGTTAATTGCAATGTGCAATTTTCTGGTAGAGCACTGAAGACTGTCAAAGAGATGGTTTGTGTGTGTGGTGTTGTGTGTGTGTGTGTGAAAAAAGATATCTTATTACAACTATTATAAAGCTACTTCTCTGACCCAGATGCTGTCCTGGATAATAATAATGCTCAGTCTGCACAATGAAGAATGAGAGGTAAACAAGATTGTTTGGAATTTGGTGGATGTGGAATTAACTATGCTTTTTTGGGTATTCTGCCTAGCAAATTACAGCACTTTATAATAGGACAGCTGACAGTTTGTATAGTTTAGCATTTTTACACTTTTTCAATGATTTGTATCTTCTGCAACACATTTTTGTTCTTACTATTCTATATTGAAAAGAAAATACATCAAGGCATTTAAAAAAACAGTTTTAAATATAGCAACTTGGAAATACTAAACCATTTATGGTTTACAGAGAATATGATTTGTTAAAATGACTGGATTCAGTCCTCCTATAAAAACTCATATTTGTCACTGAATTAAATTAGGCTCAGTGTAGCTATGTGTAGCACTAGAAGCTGTACCGATATGAAGATGCTGTGAAATCTTCAACTAGATGAATAGGAAATAAAACACCTTTCTTGTCCTTTGAAGCCCAATTGTATGTGAATAAACCCTGTCCTCTCTGCTGTCTTCTGACCTTTCTTTCAGTAATAGAACTGCAGAGTTTTAGGAGATGGTAGAATGCTGGCAGGGCAGTCTTAGGTTTCTCCCTCCATGCGGACTTGGGAAGAACTTTCATGAAATTGTCATAGAAACTCATAATTACTTGTACAGTGGCTCAGTATGTTCTAGAACACGATGCAGTATTGGGGTTCTAGCCTCAGGTGTATGTGTTTCATGAATCATTCCTATAGCTTTGGCAACATGGTGCTACTCTGCTCTTATAGCTCACAGTGAAGCAATAGGAACATCAGATTTGCACAAGGACTTTGTTCCCACAGAGTGGTGCATTTCAAGCACTGCTGATAAGTCTTTCTGCTAACTTCTCTATTGTCAATGCCGGTCCATCTCTTCAGCGGATAATTAAATCCTGCCAGCCTAGTGCTTGCATCTGGCTGCCTTAAGTATATAGTGAGTTCTTCCTGTGAAATTCCAAAAGGAGGTCACTGGCTTTTGTAGCATAAGGGCAACCCTTTTAGTCACCTGTCTTATTACCTCTTTATAAATCCATAGTATGTCTGCATCTTGGATATTATGTGCAGATGTGGTCACCTCATCTCAAAAAAGATATCTTAGATTGGAAAAGGTTCAGAAAAGGGCAAAAGAAATGGTAACCGGTATGGAATGGCTGCCATGAGGAGAGATTTATAAAACTGGGACTTTTCAGCTTGGAAAAGAGATGTTTAAAAGGGAAATATGATAGAGGTCTATAAAATCATGACTGGTAAGAAAAGTGAATAAAGAAGAGTTATTTACTCATTTCCATAATACAAAAGAATTAGAGGTCACTAAATGAAATTAATTCACAGGACAGCTGTCTCCAAAAAGAGACAAGCCTGGGAAAGCCAGGGCAGGTGGTGACAACTTTAAGTGTTGTCCCTGGGGAGTGGATAGAAGACAGTGCCTTATGGCTGTAGTACTTCTATCTCAGAAGTAGTCTCCAGGGAGTCGCTCTGCAGCCACACCATGATCTGTATCGGAGGTTTCTTCCATTTGACCTCCTTTCTACCAGTGTGGACCAGCCCAGATCCTAGCTGGGCACATATCTGAGGATTTGGCCCTGTGGCTTGTCTGCCGTTAAAATGCTACAGTGACCCCTCTAGCAGCTCATTGCAGATGTTAAGTATGGTTCTCCAGTCAGTGCAGGTAATCCATCTCCTCAAGCAGCAGTAGCGAGGCTGACAAAATTCTTTCATTAACCCAGAGCTGTTTACTCAGGGACTTCTATCAGATTGACCATAGCAGTATGTAAACCCCCACTATGGGGAGATTAGGTCGCTAGCCCTGCCTTTTCTACCCAATCTATCCGCCCCATCTGCAGGAGCCCCAAAACCACACACTGCCCCCACAAAGGAAAAGGCCTGTGGGAGGGAAGGGGATTCTCCCCAGCCACAGGATTCCCAGCCCCCACAGCCCAGCCACATCAGGCAGAGCTGCTGCAGCCATCCTTCTCCCCATGGCCCCCACCCCAGCCTCAGTGTCTCTTACTACCCCCCCCCCCTCCGAGTGCTGGACCAGCCCCAACGCTGGGTCCAGCCAGAAGCCTCCCTGAGCTCCAACTCCTTTCACCTCTGAAGGCCCCATCAAGCTGCTGGTCAAGCTACCACTGGCTCTCCATGTTGCTCCTCACTCTCCGTCCTGAGAAGGAGGGACATAGCAAGCAGCAGAGACCTTTGGGGCCTCATGGAAGGGGAAGCACCTAAGTCCAGTTGTCTGGTGGCTGGTCAGCAAATCTTTCTCTGGCCTAATATGGGCAGCGGGTATAATAACACAACCTGCATGTGGATTTTTCACACATCCTGACTGAAATTAAACAGCTCTACTTATCTAGTGTACATCAGTCCTCAATAATCCCTCAATGCCTATCACTCACAGCAAAGCAGCAGACTTCGATTCTTTTTCTATTTAAAAACTTTTTTTTTCACTCTTTAGTTCAGGGCTCAGCGCAACTCAGGAGGGAGGAAGGATTATGGCAGCTTTATGCCTCTTCTCAGACCTTCATGATACTGGTCTTCTCCCTGTGCTGGACTGGTCCACCAGTGCAATTTAGAACTGCCTCGGGCTGCTCTAAGTTATCCCTGGCTACCCACAGCCACAGAAAGCTGTTCTGGCAGCTTGGGATCACTCAGTTATAAGGTCGCCTCAGCAAGACCCTGAACCAGATCTACACATCAGGGGCGGATGAGGGTTTTGCAGGGCCCAGGGCAACACAATTTCACAGGGCCACCCTTTTAACATGGTGCATGCACCATGGCACCACAGCACAGCCGCCCCACTCGCCCTGCCCTTTATCCGCCGCTGCTGCAACTGTTGTTCATAGGTGTAGGCCCAGTGAAGTCAACATCTCCAAAAGGGCTGGCTGCTTATTACATGTGCCTTTTGAGGAACCCTTCTCTTCCTTTCTTAAAAAAATGTATCCTGAGTTGTGAATCTGGTGGCTTTAGCACTGATGTAAATCTAAGAGAATTTTGTTGAAATCGGTGGAGTCAACCCAGAGTAAACAGGATGACAATTCAACCCACGCTAGGGTTCTGAAAGCAGAGTCTGGCAGGTTAATTGTAAAGCCACTGCAATGACCCCAATAATTAAATGTGGCTTGTTCCATATTTTTTACTGACCACAAGTGGCTCTTAATGACTAGAACTGGATTTTTCTCTTGGCAGCAATCTGCCCTTTTAAGTTTTGTTCTGGCTTCTTTTTGACCTGGAATTGTTCTTTGTTCATGTAGTTTTCCCAACATTTACCTTTGTTACTTAGCAAATACTGAAAAAAAACCTTCCTTGGACAAAGCCTTAATCCCTTATTTGTACCAGTTGCAGCACCCACCCTGCACTCGGGTACCATCCAACATTTCAAGAGTACGTGACTACATTTGACCTAAACTTTGGACTGAGGGCTTTAAGATTTGCCCAGAACCCCATGAAGTCAGGGTGGGGTTTGGCTGGTGGTAGATCTCTAAATGTCAGCTCCGTTCTATATAGATGGGGTGAAAGTTCTCACCACTAGGAGTCCCTTCTTAAGGTATGTCTACACTACCCCGCTAGTTCGAACTAGCGGGGGTAATGTAGTCATCCGCAATTGTAAATGAAGCCCGGGATTTGAATTTCCCGGGCTTCATTTGCATGAAGCCGGCCGGCGCCATTTTTAAATGCCAGCTAGTTCGAACCCCGTGCCGCGCGGCTACACGCGGCACGGAGTAGCTAGTTCGGATTAGGATTCCTAATCTGAACTAGCTGTACTCCTCATTCCACTACATTACCCCCGCTAGTTAGAACTAGTGGGGTAGTGTAGACATACCCTTAGGTACCTATTGGTTTATGGTGGTGTGATTGTACCTTCTGCCCATCCAGGTGCCGTGTGTCCTCAGGAGGTGCTGAGTGATAGTTTCTTACAACCAGGTCTTCAGAGACAGCTGCCAAATAAAGGTCAGAGCTGCCCAAATCCATATGTGGATAGGAGAGGTGAGGAAGCCCAGAACGGTATTATTGCAGGGATGATACATTAGGAGCCCCATCAAACAGATCCTGCTAGGTAAAATCGTGTGGCCCCGCAAAGCCACCTCCCTGCTTAAATCTAAGGAGATGCAATGCAGGAGCACAAAATATCACCTAGCTAACTAGATTTTAGGCCATGGTGAACGCCATAGTATTTGAGGCCTAACACAGCTAGTTAGTATTATGCTGCTGTAATGCAAATAAATCATCAGCACTGATATTAATCTCCAAGAGCCAAACACTGGATCTGTTTTGTTAAATAATTTTGTGTAGTCTTGATACCCACTGGTACACAACACAGCATGCATCAACTCCCAGACCATAGGCACTCCGACAAAGCACCAGGAACCAAGTTTTATTCTGTAATTCCTGGTCTACGCTAGGGAGTTATTTCAGCATAATCCCCCTTATTTCAAAATAGCAAGCGGCACGTCCATACCACCCAGCCCGTTATTTCAAAATAATGGGCTGGTTATTTTGAAATCTGTACTGCTTTCCTCCGGGAATATCCTTTATTTAGAAATAGTTGTTTCAAAATAGCATTAGTGTGGACAATCGAGTGCGGATGTGTGAATACCCCCTTTACTGACGATAGTTCAAAGAAACACTAACAGGTCCTGTCCCTTTAACAAAGCTTGACAGTCCCTCCAGAAAGTAGCATCATGTGGGCAAGGAATTCCGCTGCATACTGTGCCATGGTGGGGGTGGGAGAGAACACACACACAACTGCGGACAGAGAATAACAGAGGGAGAGCAGGGCAAAAGCCAATGAGTACAGTGTGAATCTGGTAGGTGAAAGCTTTTGGGTCTGTTGGGTAAAGAGGTTTGGGGTTGTAATTGTCAGAGTAGCGGGACTTTGTACATTCCTTGTAAATAAACAAGATAGTGGCAAAGGAAACAGCAGAATCCATCGGTTTTTACTTCTAGCAGGACCAATTCCGGGGCCCTGAACTGTGACTAGCTGATTGCATTGAAAAGGGGCAACTATGTCATCACTTCCTGGTTAGTGTCCAGAACCAAATGGGGCGGCATCGCCATATGGACATTTATTTGTGTGATTTTGGTGAAAGTTTGACCTTTGCTGCGTTTGGTCTTCTCCGTGATAGGTACAGTAAAACTCCATTAGTCCGGATTCCAATGCTTTAGCACTCCTGATGGTCCAGCACCATCAGGAACCTGGAAGTGCTCTGGCTGCTGGACAATTGGAGCTACTCTGCCCTGGCTTCCCCGATTCAGCCACTGCTGAAACTGACCAGCAGCTGAATCGGGGATGCCTGGGGCAGAGCAGATGGGGTGCTGCCGGTTTGGTCCTGTAGTGCTGCCCCTCGGCGCTGTGGGCCCAACCTGGCAGCCCCCCAGCTGCTCTGTCCCAGGCGTCCCCAAGAGTAGCTGGGGGGCTTCCGGGTTGGTCCCACAGCCCCAAGGGGCAGCATTACAGGACCAAACCGGCAGCACCCCATCTGCTCTGCCCCAGGCATCCCCGATTCAGCTGCTGCTCATCAGTTTCAGCAGCAGCTGAATCGGGGACTCCTCGTGCAGATCCGGACTATTGGAAGGGGGGGCTATGAAGGGTCTGGGGTGGCATCCCCCTCCCACCCCAGACCCCCCATAGCCCCCCCTTCCGATAGTCCGGCATATTTGATAATCCAGCATCCCCTGGGTCCTAAAGGTGCCCGATTATTGGAAGTTTACTGTACTTGGTTCACTTTGTTTAAACTCCATATCCCTATACACGGTGCATTTCCTGCATCTTTGCCATTCGTAAGTGATCATAGGTGTTCTCATTGGACAGATCTCATTTTCCATTACCAGAGGGCTGTAGTACGATTTGGGTAATGAAAAGGCTGATTTTCAAACCCAAAGGCTATTCTAAATCTCACTGTTGCAGGTTGTCTTACTGCAAGCTCACAGCCAAGAGTTTGGGAATTTCTCCTCTGTTCCTTGAACCAACCAGACTCTCAGAGAGCTGGATGTGGATAGAAATGAATTGCGGTATTCAGAGGCATATGGATTTGTAAAGGACAGAAATGTGCAAGCTGCAAGAAATAGTTGCTAATCTTTCATAATGGTTGTTTTTCAAGATGTTTGGTTTCCGTCCATTACTGCACAACCTTAACTGCCAGCCTTCCAAAATCCCATCTTTGCTTCCCTGCCATGAGACAGAGATCTCACATACCCCTATTTTCTTCTGTGAAATTCTTGGAAAGTTGCACTTTTTAATGCTTGGGAACATGGGGTGTCAAGAAGCCTGCCATCCTCACTAGGGCAGTGCTAAAGCTGTGTGTGTGTTTTCTGGGGCTGTCTGCAAGCTATGTCCTGTCAAATGCATTAGCTTTTCATTCCCTAGCTTTTCTGCTAGGTACTTTGTGTCTAGTGCAACCTGAACCGACCTACCCAGTGCAGTGGTTGTGGAGTCACATCCCCTCGTTTCTAGGTGCCGAAAGGGTCTCCAGCCCAGCTGTGGTTACTTTCACAAAACACAAGATCTTCGCAAAGCCCCACAGCTGTCAGAGATGCTCATCTTTCAGGGCAGGACGCGTTCATAAAGATCTGTGCTTCGTGACAGCAGACGCTGCTTTGTCACAAGCCTTCCCGTATAACGTAACACACGTGCTGCCATTCTAGAAAACCCGTTCCTCTTCCCCAGATTAGGCCCCAGAGCTGCAATGGGAGCATGTGACATAGGCAGCATGTTCTGCTCCCCTAAAAACTAGAGAAGGTTTGTGCTCATGCTAACTATTTTTATGGCATATTAACCTCCACAACAGGGAAGCACCACTAGGCAATAACGTTCTTGTCTTCTCTAGGTTGGGCTGCTGCTGTCTCTCAGAAGTTTCTTTGAAAGACTTATCGCTTGTTCTTCAGACAAAGCACTGCCTGAAAGAGCTGGATCTAGAGTCTAACAGTCTGTCCCTTCCTTTAATTACTCATTTTTATAAGGAGCTGAAATGTCACAGAAGCACACTAAGGATAAGGGTTAGTTCTACTGGAATTCTGCAAGGGTTGCCTTTATAGCCATAGTGTGTTGCAGAATTCCAGCAAGCGTCACTGATGTAAAAATTGGCTTTGTTGGAGGATTGTGGGATTGCTATTCAGTTTCACAAATGCAGCAGCTCTGGCGTCATGACAGACACCAGAATGCGTATGTTCTATTTCTGAGCATGTATCGTGACCAACAGGCTGGGCGAATAAAGTCGATGTCTTTTTAAAAAATCCTTGTCTAGGAGAAATGTTTGAAATGTTAAGGCCTAATCTGATTACCTACCTCAAACTGTTAGAGGTGCTGCTTGAACAGCTCTGGTAGTGTTCTTCAACTAGCCCCCATGAGGGCCTTGTTCAGCTGAGCATCCTGTCTGGACTCCAGCTATGCTTGAGGGCTTTGCCCTTGGCAGCTCCCTGCTGACCATCCTCTGAGCAACCCCCTTCTCTTTCTCCAGCTAGCACTGGGGATGCACTGCAGCTGGGGAGCAAAAGGCAGGGAGCATGGGAAGGAGCTGGAATCAGGTGACTGAACTGCCCAGTGTCCTTACAGTAGAGCCCCTAGCAAGGAGGAAACCAGCTGCTGTCCAGTAGGCACTTTTCCCTCTTCAGCTACAGAGCATCCTATGAGCCCACTGCAGGGTAGTATGTTCTGAGGCAGCTCCACATGCAAGGGTTCTGCATCTGGGTCAGGTGTGGGGCACAGGGGTCAGAGCTGAGCAGCAGGGCCATCCTTACAGCAGAGACCACCCCGCAGAGAAGCAGCCAGGCTCTGGAGAGTTGCCCCAGTTCCTCGGGGACTCCCCATTCTCTATCTCAAGCAATATTGAGGCTCCCGTCTCTTGCAGCTGCTGCTTCTTCTCTGCCCCCCTTGAGACCAAAAATCCCAACTCACCAAGTGAGCAGGGGAGCATATGGCTATTTGGACAATCAAGATTTTCAGTTGAAATTTGGCTCAATGGACTTTCATGATCATGAGGGGAACAAAGTGTGCCCTGTTGATCTACCATTCAGAAATCTACCAAGATTCGTGTCACAAGTCCTGCCCCCAACTTTATGAAAAATGTCTTATAAATATGGCTCAGACTGTAGGCAACATGCATTATGTGACATTTTTAAAGTGAGTCTGCTGAATAGGTGTGTTCTGTTTCAGGGCATGTATCATTCTTATATGTGGCCAGGCCACCTGATACTGAAACCCATTTTGGATCTTGTACTTTTCTGCTCAAGGAGAGAGAAGTTTGAACTGAGTACAGAGAATTCCCGCCTTGGGCAAAAGGGAGAAAACCAATCACGGCAGTCACCATGAAACCTCCCACTTGCCACCCAAGATGGAGCTGGAAACATCTAAGTCTGAACAGGGGGGAGGATCAGGCCTATGCTGCGAGGCTGCCTAACTTTTGGAAAAGATGAATGACTGTTTTTGCATGTAAGGGTACGTCTACACTAGCCCCCTAGTTCGAACTAGGGAGGCTAATGAAGGTGACCGAAATTGCTAATGAAGCATGGGATTTAAATATCCCGTGCTTGATTAGCATATTCTCACCTGGTTGCCATTTTTTAAAACTGACTAGCCCGAAGTAACTGCCCACGTCTACATGTGGCAGAGAAGCGGGATTTTGAGCTAAGCCCCTTAGTTTAAATTAACTGTTACTCCTTGTGGAAAAGGGATTTATTTGGGATTGTGTTTCTGTATGGGTACGTCTAGACTACAGGGTTTTGTCAACAGAAGTTTTGTCGACAAATACTGTCGACAAAGAGCGTCTACACTACATTCAGTTCTGTCGACAAAGCAAGCTGCTTTGTCGACATGGCAGTGTAGACGCAAGGACAGTTTACATGCAATAACGCTTTCTGTCGACAGAAGGCATTATGCCTCGTGAAATGAGGTTTACCAGCATCGACAAAACTGCTGAGTCCTACTTGAAAGGAATAAGAAATCCTCCGGAAAAGGGCTCATTTTCCGGAGAATCACATCTAGACTGGCGCTTTTCTCCGGCTTATCCCCAAGCCGGAAAAAAGCGGCAGCTATGTAAATGCAAATGCCACGAGGGATATTTAAATCCCCCGCGGATTTGCAATTCCGAAGTGTCTAATCTGCATCCCTTTTCCGGAAAAGGGGTGCAGTGTAGACACAGCCCTTTTGCCAGCAATAGCTTCTTCAGGTACAGAGAACTAAAAGTATTAAACTTGTCCAGCGTTGTTAGGGCAGTTTTGTTTTATGAACATTTAAAAAATGCTAAGTGCCATGTAAATATAATGCAAAATAAGTCATTAAAAATTAATTAATCACTTCAACATAAAATGAAGACTATGAATAATGTATGGCTATAGTGTATGTTTCTAATCTGTAAAGATGTGTTAATTATACTACTCAATCAGTCTCTCTTTGGTAAAGACTAAAGTGTTACAGTGCACAAAAAAAAAAAAAAAAAAAAACTTGTCTGAAGAGTAGTCAAACTTGCTTTTCATGGGGACAAAATTTTATATAAGGAACTATGCTCATTAAGAGTGTCTAGCTCTTTATATTAAACTGCTGAATGTAAATTAGGTTTGCCCACTACAGTATTTTTCCCCTTGAAACACTGAGGAAGTTCCTAGGATGTGGGGATCATAGGCTACAAATGGACGTTTTTAACCTATGTCAGTCAGGGTGTGGAATTAGTTTGACAAATATTCATCTACTACACAAAGCTGTGTTTCATTTTCAGGTCCTGTTGTCTTGTGTGCTGTCGTCATTTCGGTCAGCTGAGAACTTTCATGCTCTATTGGAAAATCTTGCATTTGGTTTAAAAATAGAATATTTTATTAAAATAGTCCTTTAAACTGAAGTAATTATATAACAGCTGGTCTGCAGGAAAATAGGGATGTTAATCAAAATTTAACTAATCAAATAGTCGATGAGATTTTCCTCAACTATTAAATTAGTCAATAAGGACTAGCACAGTGTTCCGCCTTTGAAATGTACAACAGCTCCAGTAAGGGCTCTTGTGCGTTTCAAAGTTGGAACACCACTGCTATGCTCCTGCCCCTCCCACAGAGCTGGAGGAAACCAGTTTTTAAGCTGGCTCCCCGCAGCACCTCCTCCTCTGCCCCCCGTTGTCTTTGAGATAGAGGCAGCAAGGCGGGAGAAGCGACTAGTCAACTGGTGTGTGGACTATCCTATAAGCTTTTGCTTATCACATAGTGGATTAGTCACATCCCTACTGGAAAGTGCAGAAGAAAATTAGCTTACAAATAACTGTATCTTTGCAGAACTCTGTAAGGACAGAGCTAAACTGACCTCTGCGTGTTTCCTGCACTTTAGTTATAGGCTACACTTTGATCTCTCCAGTGACTGAACAGCCAAAGAGGCTAGCATGCATCAGAGGCAATATCCCCTGTAGGTTTGGGGATCTCCCATATGGTACCCCTCTCCCCCAAGAAAAATTCAACCAACATGACAGAATGAAAAGCCCCAGTCACATCTCACCTTTATTAATCTACAAACAGATTTACACAGATTGAATATTATAAAATCATTTTTCTTCCCTAGACAGACAACAAAGACTAACACCTCACTACTCCACATTCCTCCAGCCTCAGTATTTTTTCAGGCCATAGGGCAGGCTTAGCACAGATTTAGCACCTGGGAAAGGGGGGGAATTCCAGACAGCAGAGCTAGTGCGCTTGAAGTATCGCGGCTTGTTCTTGTAGAAAATATCCTCCAGCTTGGGGCTTATGATAGCCCCAAAGAGCGTAGTGACATCTGGAGGTTTGTAGTACTGGTGGATGACAGCTTGACTAAGCTGAGTCCCTGGAGAAGTAAGAGTGACCAGTTTATTAGACTGAACTTGCCTTTAATTCCTTCATTGAAACTTAGGTGTGTACAGACTGCTCTAGAAGCTGTACATTCCCCATCCCTCTGTTGCCTCAGACTGCAGAGCTCTAGGGAGGAACAGCTTTGCTTTGCCCTCTAGGAAATCAGAACCCTGGCATGCCCATAGGTAGCACAGTGTGAACATACTAAGCACTGGACTTTGTTAGCAGAAGGATCTGAGGTACATGGGGCAAGCTGGAGAGGAGACGTTGCCTATGTCTCAGCAGAACCTTATGCCTTCTCTCAGAGAAAATGAAGGTTTCTGAATATTTAGTCCAATTCCCAGTATCCTAAAGGAGGGTTAATACGGTAACAGCAGTGCAAGAACAGCAGCCAGCATGGAGCTCAGCTGTAGCACTCAGAGGGATGGTGCCCTGGACACTGGCATTACCCCTACAGCTGAGCACATTAAAACCAGTCTCTGTCCAGCAGGTTTAGGCCCAACATGTAATTTTCAAAATCTTACACCAAAATTCATCCTGTCACTGTGTGTTCTAAAGCTGCTAGTTCACAGGACGGGATTTGTTTAAACCTAATCTTGTCCCATGTGCCTCCAGAGGGGCACAGTACAGCTTGGTATGGTGTGCTATGTGCACAGCCCCAGGCTGGCCTCTAACAGTGCAATATCTCCCGTGGCCATGGGCAGAGAAGGTGCCACAGTCTGAGGGACCCATCAGGAGGGTTTCTGAACGGTCAGGGTTAGATTTCAGTGAGCTGACACATACCGTTGGCCCAGGCAGGGATGGGCTTGCGTGGCTGGCTCTCATCATCCGTGGAGTCATCGCTGTTCAGGTCCATCCCGTAATTATTTGGATTGATGGTGGGGGGCTTGGGCCCTTTCGGGCCCTGCGGGGTCATTTGATAGGAGTTACAGACAGGGGAATTCTAGAAACAAAGTAGATTAGTGGCGCTGCGCTATAATAGCAGAGACACACTGAGCCCCAGGAAACCCTAATATTGCATTTTGGATGGCAGATCAGGATTCCACCCCCCATCTTACCTCCACATCCACTGTTACATTCAGATGGTTACTAGCAGCATTGGCGGCTTTCTTATCCTGCTCTGCTAGCCGCTGCTCCTCCTGCTAACAAGCAGAAATCACCAGGGCATAAGATTTTAGGAGTAACTGACCCTCTCCATGGCAAGGAGAACACGCTCCACTGCCTGCCATGGACAGGGTACTCCAGGAGCACCACAGTCCCTCTGCTGCTGCTGGAGACAGCTCTTGGTATAATGGCAGCTGCAGGCAGATACATATGGAGACTCCTTACCTGTTTCTTCTCTTTTTCCTCCATCTCCTTTTGGAGTTGCTCCTTCTCTCTAGCTGCCATCAGCTCCCTCTGCACACGCGCGGCCATCTCCTTCTCTTGCCGCTCACGTTCTCTGGGAGCCAAAGAAACACATCAGGTCATACTCAGAAGGGTGCAGACAATCTTCCCTATGATGACAATTGCACTTCCTCCTTCACCAGCTGCCCATTGCGTACCTCCCACTATGGGGCCTAGAACCAAGGATGTTGACTTGTGGGTAACTGACTAATTGAATAAGCTAGTCAATAGGGTGTCTCCACCTTTGAAGTGAAAGTGAAAGCGCCACATGAAGCCTGAGAGCTTTGAAATGCCACTGCAGGAGCCCAGGATCAGCTGGTGAGTCCCCAGCTGACCCCAGGCTCCACACAGTGCTGCAACTTTGAAGTACCTCCTACTTTCCCCGCCCCTTGCTGCCTCTTTCTGATAGAGGCAGCAAAAGGGAATGGAGGGACTAATTGACAAGTTTGTTGACTATCCAATAAGCATTTGCTTACAAGACAGTCAGCTAGTCCATCACATCTCTTCCTGGCTGCTCCTTCTCATCCCCCACTCCAGGGCTGGGCTGACAGAAGACAGGGCTTTAATAGGCCCTTTCACAGGTCTGTTCAGCCCTTGCTCTTTTCTGCAAGCACATGGAAGGTCATTTTTCACCTCTCTGCCTGGATCCTCTCCTGTTCCTTCTTCCTCTCAAGCTCTCTCTCGGCAGCCAGCTGCTTCTCCCTCTCTTGTTCCTCCTGCCTCTGCTCAGCGATCTTCCTTGCTCGCTCTTGCTCTTCCTCCTCCCTCTTCTTCTGCATTCGCTCCTTTTGGCGGCGCTCCTCCTCCTCCTGACAAGCAAAAGGAAGCAGTTGCCTCCACCTCATAAGGAAAGAGGGGATGTGCCAGAGAAGCACCTGGGTCAGCCTGCCTGGTGTCTTTCCATGGCTCATCACTACAGCATTGTCACTAAGGGCTCAGAAACGTGATGGACCAAAGCTTACAGTGTAGTTTCTGCTTCCCTTTCAGGGATGCACAATCACTGCTCGGCTCCCCCGATCACACTGGCACTGCCACGTCTCAGCCCTTGACCCCATGATTGCAGCTGGTCCTCAGCTCCAGATTACAATAGCTGCAGAGGTCTGGATTGCAGCTGAGGTTCTCTATAGATTACATGATGTCTAAGATCTCCCCACCCACCTCCTGCCCAGCCCCAGGAGCTGGAAGAGATCACTCAAAACACTAGGACTTATATTTCATTGAGGATGTGGAAGGGAATGAAATGGCCCATGGGCCAGGTAGAAGCTGTGGTTCAAAACTCATGAAAAGCACAGAAATGGGTGTGCAGGGAAGGGTGGGTTGGCAACAAGGAGTCCCTCAGGGACCTGAGGGACAGAAGACGGTACTTTTCCCTCCTATGGCCTAATTCTCCCTCAGCTGTTCTCTGTGCAAACAGGCTCCCCCTCCCCTTGTCCAGGGACTGGGCCAGATCTGTGTTACTCTGGTTTCTCCCCTGCTATGTGCAGAACGGAGTGCAGCACTGTCTGCACACCCACTCCCTCAGCCCAATCTCTTCCTGCCTGCGCACACAACCCCAGCACAGCTCACCAGCTGCTGTGCCTTCTGCTTCCGGGCCTCCTCCTCTTGCCTGCGCCGGGCCTCAACCTCTTCCATCTTCTTAGCAGCTACCTTCTTCTTCACCTTTTCCTCTGCCAGCCTCTCCTCCCGCACCTGAGACAGTCACACATACAGTGGGTCTGGACCTGGCTGGTGCAGATGGGACAACTCCTCCGTGTGTATTACAGTCTCTCTGGTACACCAAGCTCATTGGAGTCCGAGACAGCTCTCCGCAAAGGGTAAAGGATGCCTTTCCCTTACCCAAGAGTCTAGAGGCCCAGTGGGTCTGTGCATAGTTCTTGGAGCATATGCTCTTTGGAACAGCTTCTTGCCCTGGGGTTTGTGCAATAGGATTCTGATTCCAACTGGTGTTTCTGGATGCTACCTTATTTTAATGGCAGACAACACCCAGAGCAGCGAGTCCAGCAGTGCCTGGGACCGTTCAGATAAGGAGAAGCTCTTCGACCACTCACAGCACATCTGAACTATCAGAACAAGCCTCACTTAGCAGAAACGATGACGACTCTAGTGGCCGCAGAGCAAACAAAGGCAAAGTGTAAGCAGATTCTCTCTGGTTCATGTGAAGGGCTTCCCAAGAGGGAACGTGGCCCATGGTGGAGAACAGGACATGGAAGAGGAGCAAGCTCCACAGACTAGGCTGCTCTGACTCTTCAGGACTGTCGGCACCACCCTGTCCTCTATGGAATAGCCCAAGACCTCAGACAGAGGAGGCTGGTGGGGGAAGATGATTTATTTGTGCACATTCTTTGGTTATTAACCAGACACAATGGCGTGTCTGGTGACCTAAATGCACCTCCGCCACATCATCCCTTTTGCCCCAAGGTTTAAGTTAAGGATGTTAAGGACAAGTTGACTAGTCGATCCCCCCCCTCCCCCACACTTGCGGCCTCTATCAGATAGAGACAGCAAAAGGGGGGGGAGAGAAGGGGTATTTCAAGGTAGTGTTTTAAAGGGGCAGTGCCGTGGAGCCCAGGGTCAGTGGAGTGCATCCCTAATTGACCCTGAGCTCTTCGCAGCATGCAGCATCCTCCTGGAGACCGGGGTCAGCGGGGGACTTAAGAGCTAACCCTGGGCTCCATGAGGATGCTGCAGCTTTGAAATGCACAAGAGCCCCTGCTGGGGACGCTTGAACATTTCACCCGCGAGCAGCCCGGAGTCAGTGGGACTTCCCACTGGCCCCGGGCTGCACGCGGTGTTCCGCATTCCTCCTTTGAACTGTACAAGTACCCCAGCGGGGACTCGTGTACATTTCAAAGGAGGAATGCGGAAGTACCTATCGACTAGTCAATTAACCGCAATTTAACTGCAATTTAACATCCTTCGTTTAAGTCAGACCTTTAATGAAAGATTTCCCCATTAGCGCTGAGCAACGTCAACCCCGTTTGCCCCCCATGCAAGAAAGGACAGGACCCCTCTCCATGCTACTGCAGTTTCTACTCAGTCCCATAGGAAAACCACATTGTCCCCAGAGGCTCTATGGTCAGATTGGGCTCTTTTACCTTCTCACTCTTCTCATCAAACTGAGCAAGTTTCTGCTCGATCCGCCTTTTCTTCTCCTCCTCCATCTGCTCCACCCGCTCCCGAGCCTGCAGCACCTTGCGCAGACGTGCTTCCCGTTTACTGTAGGATGCAAGAGAGCTTGTTAGAAGCAGTTCAGAGCCAGAGCTGGAGCAGCTGGAGGGGCAGCCTCTCACAGTTTCATCTCCTCCAGTCGCTGTCTCTTCTCCTCCTCCAGCTTCTGTTTTCTCTGTTGCTCAGCCTCCTGCTTCTTCCTCAGGCTCTCCAGCCGCTGCCGCTCCTTCTCCTGCGGGGGGAGGGGGACACGACTCAGATTATACTTGGCTGCAGGGGTTCATTTCTGGCCCATACAGGTTGGGCAAAGGCCGCCAGAAACAACCACCAGGGAAATTACAGCCACAGCCAATTCAGACCTCCCTGGAAGGGGGCCCAAGGGGTCCCAGTACCACAGTGGCTCAGTGAGGTGGCCTGCCCAGCCCTAAACCTCTTTAGAAGAAGCTACAATGGGAAGAGACAAAGCAGTAGTGCTAATTCAGCCACCCCATTGTCTAGGAGCTGGAGAGGAGCGTCAGAAGCATCAGCTGTGGGGCAGTTCTTGTGCATCAGAAGCATCAACTCAAGATCAGTATGTTACTGCATAGGGCAGCAGCTCCCAACCTTTTCGAGGATATGGACCCCTTTGCACTCTATTAAAATTGTACAGGCCTGCCCCCAAACAACATAGCTGTGCCTGCAGCCTGCACCTCCCTCAGCCCATGCTGCTTCCCATCCACTAGGGCAGCAACTCAGGTTGAAGGAAGTGCTGGCTGCGATATGCTCCGCGCAAACTCCCTACAGTACTCCCCCAGACCACAGGTTGGGAACCACTGGCATAGGGTGAATTCAGGCACGCAGGAGTGAGTGGGTTTTAAGCTGTATTCACCACAGAAGACCAACTATCGTTAGCTGGTGTCAGTACTAGACTTAAGCATACAACAAGGGCACCAAGGTGATGTCCTGTGTAATCCTCTGCTCGCATCACACCTAAAGGTCCCCTCAAAGGTTTGAATTCTAGCCTCCATGCTTCCTGTTGAGGCAGGCTGGAATGGCTCTCAAATACAACAGTGAGCCCCTGTACCAAGCCAGAATCCCCTTCTCAATCCCTTCCTGCACCCCAACACACTATCCAGCCTGGAGCTCCCTTCCCAAAGACAGCAACCTGCACCCCCCCATACCTCAACATTGTCCCAGCCTGGAGGCCCCTCCTGCACACAAATTCCCTCCCAGAGTTTGCATCTCTCACCACTTTCCGCTCCCAAATCCCTGAGACCCACAGCCCAGTGAAAGTGAGTGAGGGTGGGGGAGAGCAAGTGATGGTGAGAGGGGGAAGGGGTAGATCCTCAGTTGCCCTGACATTTAAAAAGTGCTCTTGGACGTAAAAAGGTCAAAGACCACTGGTCTATATCATCAACCTGCTTTCATTATTTAGCATTCCTTCAATTTGTGTGTGAGTTGCAAATTTTATTAGTGATGACTTGTGGTTTTTTTGTAATCGGTGACCTGAAAGAAAATGTTAACTACCATAGGGCTGAGAACAGATACGCAACTGCTTAGTGATGATTCCACATTTATAATTACATTTAGAGATCTACCAATTAGCCAGCTTTTAATCCACTTGGTGTGTGCCATGTTCATTTTGTATTATTCTAGTTTTTTAATCAAAATGCCAGGTGGAACCACCACCTGTACGGTAAGCTTGTGGGTCATCACCCGCACACCAGGGAGATTAAATCCTTTGTTACTTCTACAGAGAAAAGAAAGCCACCTTCAGAGTACAGCAGAACACACTAAGTGAGGTATGCCCAAAGATTCCCAGCAGTGCACTAGCAGCTCTAGTGTCCATTACTAGAAACAGGCTGACGGGATTCAGTGATCTAGAAGCAGCCGGATTTCATCACACAATTTATATTTTAGTATTTTCAATGAATGCTTAGACACTGGCACAAGTGATCCCAAGCAGATCTGGTGTTTATTTGAAAGGTATCATGTATTAGCATAAACAGGAGACATCCATCCGTTTCACCCTAGCCCCTAGAGGGCATTCCAGTGAACCTGATCCCTTTTTACTTTACTGCTGTTCTAAAAAGGGTCACTTTGGCTGGTTCCTGCTGCCCTTTGAATGCTGACCTCTCTTCTCGCTGCTATAAAGCAAACACATTAGGGCTGTGTGCAAGTAGTAAACAAATTAAAGAGCACCCATTAGCAACACACAAAGTGCACTTGCTACAAGCTCAGGCTATGATTAAAGAGAGTCATTACTTACGACAAAGTCACCCTGTGTAAACAGAACATGGGGAAAATCAATAGTTACTTCCTGTAGAAATCACCATATAAACCTACAGCTTGACCTTCTTGGCTCATTTAGGTGGCTGCCCCCCAAGTGCCATGGACTTTGTTGGCAGTAGGCAGGGAGTGGTACCATATGGATGCAACTATCCATTTGCATGGAGCAGCTTGCAGAATCAGGGCACTAGTAGCTGATTACAGTTACCACCCTGCATTGATTCTGACCCCCAGATTGCAGGCAGAGGGGCAGACTCCTGCCAAGGGGGAGGGCATCCATTAGTGTGGACAGAGGCCATGATCTAGTTACTCACAGGAAAGCTCAGCAAGGAGGCAATGTCTACCCACTCCATTGCATGTATCTGAAGTAGTACATTGAGAAATCCTCCTTGTCTTCACCTTCCCATGTGATGACTGACACCCTGGCGAATACCAGTTAGGGTGGAACAGTGCTCCAACACCCCACAGAATCCCAAATGCAGGACGGGGGAGGGAGGTGACTGACTGAATCATTTTTACATTTCTAAGACAATGAAACAGCCAGAGTTTCTCCATTTGTCCGGTTAGGAAGGCTTACACTCTACAACTTCATAGTTGCCACTTTTTACCTCTGAGACCCACCCAGGCCTTTGCAATGACTCGGGCTCTCTCCCATCCCGTCCCGCCCGACTCAAAGGAAACGGCTTTACCTTGGGATCGGTTCGGAGCGGAGTGTTGTGTTTGATGAAGGATTTCTTGATACTGTTTCGCCCCACAGAACTTGGGGCCATGAGCAGCTGGTTCTTCTGCACAGTGTGTAAAAAGGTCTTAAATGGACGCACAACCTGCGAAGAGAGCACAGAGAGCTCTGGCAGCTGAAGGAGAAGGGAAGAGTCTTAGAGGAAGTGGGCTGGGGCTTTGCCTCACTTTGCTGGCTGGGCAGAGTGGTGATGGAGTCTTTTTACTTGGAGGGGAGAGCCCGCCTTCCGCTGCTTGCTGCCCGTCATACAACTCATCCACAGCTTTCTTGTAACTTGGCTTTCTCCTGAAAGAGTTAATACATGGCTATCACACAGTGACCCAGCACAGGAAACTCTTCTCCTGATCTGAGCAACACTCATGATTCACGCTGTCACTAGGGATGTAAAGAGCCATTAAAAAACTTAACCCGTTGAACAACATAAATTTTTATCAGAGGGGTAGCCATGTTAGTCTGAATCTGCAAAAGCAAAGAGGAGTCCTGAGACACCTTAGAGACTAACAGATTTATTGGAGCATAACCTTTTGTGGGCAAAGACGCACTTCTGCACCTGATCAAGTGGGTCTTTGCCCATGAAAGCTTATGCTCCAATAAATCTGTTAGTCTATAAGGTGTCTCAGGACTCCTCGTAATTTTAATTGTTTACCTGGTAACCCAGCACCCATGTGGGATCTCAGTGAGTCTTTATAGAAAAGTTTGTGACTTCCATGTTCCAGGATGAGTCTGTCCAAGTCAGACCAGGCTGACTCCTAATACAGTTTTGGGGCCTCTGTCTCCCAGGCCTCCTGAACCAGGGCAGGAGGGGGAGGGGAAGGAGGAAGAATTAGTCAAGCTCCCTTCCTCCAGGAAGCAAAAAGTTTCAAAAGGCCAAATAGCCACATAACTAGTGGTGGGTATCTGCATTAGTTCTTTGATTCCAGACCCCCTGGGTAATTCTCAGTGAGGCAGGATCAAAAAGCTACCTACAAACTAGCGTATCAATAAACGACTATCCCATAGGCAAAGCAAAATAGCAAATAACTCTTTCAAAAATACATAGCTACAACACTGTATGGATCTGGGCTTTTAACAGCAATTGTCTGGTGATCTGGTTACAATTACTTGGCTAATGATGTGTTATAATGTGGATTGAGAGAGAGAGAGAGAGACAGAGAGAGAGAGAGACAGAGAGAGAGAGACAGAGACAGAGACAAGCTTCCAGTGAAGGCATATAATGTGGAATGAAATTATCCAGCCACCCAGACTATTTCCCCTTCCCTCTCATGCGAAGGTACCTGGCGCTCGGGGGCTGTTCCTGGGCGTCAGAATGGTTCTCTGCAGAGAGAGAGTTATAGTTAGTTCCCTTTGGGAGAGCCCAAAGCCAGAGTCACCAGGCCTGGCAGCTAAGCCCTGTGAATATGTTGCTGGGAACCTCTTCTGCTGCTGCCATGAACTGAGCAGAGCTGGCCCTTCCTGCTAACAGCAGAAAGCGACTTAGCTACCTCCAGGCCCCAGCACCCTGACCACCATGCAATCCAATATCAAGTGTTCTCGTTACAAAACACTCTACGCAACAGTGCAGTTGTTGGTGGTATACTCTGCGCTTTGGCCTTCTGCATATAGACCCACAGAGACAACAGATCCTCCCTACCCACGTACGCCATAACAATCCTCCCATCTCTTCATGGGAGAGCACATTTCCTGAAGGAAAAACTATAACAAGAGCATCCAGCACAACCCAAAGGTCACTTGATTTGAGAGATCAGGTCAGTTCCTTGCAAAAGGAACCCGGTCAATAGAATGGGAGCCAAATTAAACAACCCCCAAAGCCGAGTCTTGTCCTTCCCTGAGTCTCAGTCAGAAGTGTGCCTCTGGCAGAGAGTTACCTTTATTGCTCCCCTCCGGCTGCTCTGCCACAAGCTT